TAGGCATAACCCTGTCTAAATCAGTTATCTGTGCCAATTACAGACACACAGCCCTTATAGAGTCAGGATATTAATCTCACTGCCAGTCTGGAACAGAGAGCATTAAAAGGAGCCCCAATCAACTGTGATCCGTGTCACTGTTACAGATAGAGTTCCAGCCCTTATAGATGTAGGATGTTAATAAGACTTCCATATTAACAGAGAGCAGTGTATGGGACACTTTGCCCCCCTTACAAATTGAATTAGTTTGAGAGAACAGAGTTTGGTAAATAAAATTGTGGTTTGGGGCATTAACCTGGTTTGAGAGCCTGGTTTGGAGAGAGTAGGGTCACATACGATTTATGTGTATAAGTGTTTGAGTGTGATTGTGTGTATGAGGATTAAGTAAGGAGTAAGTTGCTGAAAACAGATGTATGTGTAGATGATTACGATTTAGCCAGACCGAGTTTTCAATTATATTTTTTCAGTGTTTTTATACCCATTTTTACTACTTTGTGAGAGTGTTTAGGACTAATAGGATTAAATTTAGAGCTGATTTTCAAAGGATCGGTCTCATTCTGAGAACCTTAAAAGCATTTTGCATTAATTTATAAAGAAAACAATTTTGTTTCTGAAAAAGGCTGAGAATGAGTGGTTGTTACAATCTTCTTTTGTGACAAAATATGTTTTTCAGTGTTTTAGATGAATGATATTGTTCTACTTGATTTTTGTTGTTTCTTTATTTCAACATAGGTTTCTTTTTCAGATGTTTAATAGGATGAAATTTGTATTAAGAACTGTTTTCTGTCTATCCAGGAACCACTGTGAAGTCATCCAGTGTAGACCTTTCCTTCAGTCTTCAGAGTTCTGGTCTCTTTCAAACTTTTCATGTTTCTGTTCGTTCTTTTTATAGAGCAATAGAGTCATCTATCCAGGAGCAATTGGGGCTTAATGCTTGATTATATCCTAGTATACTAGGCCAATCCATTACAGAGCACACACACAGAAAATCTAAAATTTATATCCAGGTTGTCTTTTTTAAGTGGGAGGAGACCTGAACACCCAGGGAAAACTCATGTAAGCTTGCACAGAACATGCACACTCCACACAGAATGACGATCAGTCCAGAATTAATTACATTTTGACCCAAGAGCTATGAGGCAGCTGTGCTAACAGCCATATCAACCAGAAATAGAGCATTATCTTCTTTTTACCTGATTTGTGCCTCAAAGACCATATTGGCTCAAGGTTAATTTTCAGTCTTTTCTGCCCTGTTCCAGAGTTAATATATATGGTTCTAGAGAACATTTATTGAACACTTAGAACTGCCTTTTGACAAAATGATGGATTCAAAACCAGAATTAGAGTTTCTGAGGTGATGCATTTTGAAAGTGTTTAGAACACTTTCATAGTATATAGCAGACCGTGTATTCTTCACATTATCCACAGTCCTGTTTAATCATTCCGAATGTTTCTTTTTCATCAGGCAGAACCAGGTAAGACATTTGTGACTTTGTTTTTAAAGTTTACCAATTATACTGTAGCAGCTGATAATAGGAAGTGTGACCGACGATTGTTTTTTTGTTTACAGTGATGTTGATCATTTTATAGAAGAGAGATTTATATTTGATCATTGGTATACTGTAGCAGATGTATACAACATTTTTTAAGCAAGAACTAAAAATGTAATTACCTTTGAGCAGTAGTTTTGGTGAGAACTGTGTAATTAGCAATTAGGTGTTAGTAATTCATTAATTAGTGTCTGGTGTCATATGCTGTATATATAAACATGGAGTGTACTTGTTACTTAGAACCTGATGAAGGTCTGTTGACCAAAATATTTCTATATTTCACACTCAGTGTCCGTAAAGAACTGTGATAATTAATGTTTTCACCTATTTGTGTAGCACCTTCATATCTTTGCTTTGCTCAACATCATCCATTTTTATTTCATCATCTTTCTCCCTACCCTTTGCTGTTTTTTGATGCTGCAGAAACCTTTTAGCTCCAGTATGACATTCTTTTCACTCTAGTGGCTTTTATAATACTGTACATATATATTTGCCCATGCTTGCAACCCATTGCACTCTTACCTGGACTGAAGTTCTTGGTTTGTTAACTAATTTATTAAACTGTTTGTACCTCTTGAAGAAATCTGTTTACACGTGATTAATTTGATTTGCTCCTAAAGCATCAACTCTTTAAATCTGCTATCTACCGAACCCATAACTCTCCTCTCCTTTTCTGCTGCTCATATACTCTCATTCCTTCAATCTTTCATGAACCTACTGTATAAACTTTTATTTTGGTCTCCACCTCCAGTTTTTCTCAGAGCAAATTCACTGCTGCCACCTAGTGATTTTAAATATATAGCAATAGAGTTATTTTTCACATTTAAAAGAAATGGCATGGTTTTTGGGGGGACCCTAGATTCAATTCCTGGGGCACTGTCTGTGTAGTTTGTTCTTTCTCCGGGTGTTCACGTGGGTTTCTTCCCACTATCCAAAACCATACTGGCAAAACTGGCCCAGGTTTGAACGTGTACATGTCTGTGTTATGGATTAGTGCTGAAGGCTCCTGGCTTTCCTGTGACCCTCAATTGGAAGAAGCAGTTAGAAGATGGATGCATGGGGTTTTTTTTAGCACTGCTACCCGGACTATTTAAATTCAGGTCCAGAATGCTCAGTTAAGCATGGTGCTGAAACTAGGATCAAATTGCTGAGGATTTGGTATCAAATTATCAGAAAACTGTACAGATTAGAATAATAATTAATAATTGCTTACACTTATATAGCACTTTTCTGGACACTCCACTCAAAGCGCTTTACAGGTTTTGGGGACTCCCCCCCACCACCACCAATGTGGAGCCCCACCCGGATGATGCGACAGCAGCCATAGTGCGCCAGAACGCTCACCACACATCAGCTATCAGTGGGGAGGAGAGTATTATGAAATGGATATTTCAGTTGTATGACTTCAACATACAGTAGCAGACACTAATAGGTAGTGGTGTGTTTGTGTCCCACACAGTTTTATTCATAATCTGCAAACAAAGCAATAAATTAAAACGATGAAACTGTTATCCAGCACAGCTAACTAATGACACGGACCAGCGTATGCTAACCTCAAGTCTCAAGCTGCGCTCTGAAAATTTAATTTAATTTAATTGATCCCCCCCCCAGTTCACATCCAGTGATGGCATCTTAGAGATCAAAGCAATGACAATAATTAAATGAAACCGTAGAGACCAATGTTCAGATAAGAAAATAAACCCTAGTTCACATCATAAAAGAGACCAATGTTCAGATAAGAAAATAAACCCTAGTTCACATCATAAAAGGTACGTCCTGTAGACCTAAAAATAAAGGAAAAGGTTGTTCTTTCTCTATCCATCCCTAATAGTGGCTCCTCAGCTCATTTCCAGTATGATGTTTGGTGTGTCTTGCCTTCAGGACTTTCCGTTGTTGGGCCAATATCTATACTAAATGTCATCTCCCAGGTGTATGTTATATGCAGGTAACAGAAACATAAACTATAAATATAAGAAGGAAAACAGGGATTTTAAAGTAGCTTCCCATGAAGGGGACTGAGGTGTCTATGTTGACATAATTTGTCTCAACAATGTTGGGGAGCAATAAAAAAGTAAACAATATTTGCATAAACATCCCGAGAGGCATTAAAAACACAATAAATGAATATTGGAAGCAACAGTATCTGTTGAATTTTCAAGCTCTTATAATAGTGTAGAAATGAAATCTTAAATGATTTGTTAAAACAAATGTTAACTTCTTCAGGCCATTCAGACTCAGACGATCACTCCATCTCACACTATCATTTTTTTCTTACACCACACACTTCACAATCCCCAAACAATTAACGCATATAGTTTTCCTTCTTTCACACGCATACCATACCATTTCCGACCCTACCAGAGTATCCCCTTATCGTGGTCTGTCATTCGCCCTTTGCCCTTGGAACCCCTCCAGGCTCCAAGGTCTCACGTTGTTCTCCTTTCTGGAGAAGACTGCTGGTCTACTCCACCTTCTGTCTTCCCACAGATCAATCACTCTTACAAACAAGCACACTGGCAACACTTTCCAAGCCTCCATGACTGACAGCCTCCACCCATCCAGCCAGCTCTTCTCTGGTGTCTCTCCAGCACACATGCTGTCCAGCTACTCACAGGCTCCAGCTGAGTACAGAGACTCCATCAGCCTCTGCTATCCATAGGGTTGCTTCTCACTGATTGCTCTCTCACAGAGCCCAGGCAGACAGCATGTCAAACACCTCTGTGGCTGCAACCACACTCAAGCAAAGTCTCCTAGTGACCTCTGTCACACAGCGCTCACTGCGCAGACACGCTGCTACTTTCTCCCTCGGCTATCCAGCCACGCTGCGTCTCTGGCGGCACACGTGCACTCGTTCAGGATGGGTTCGGGAAAGTTCTCCACAGCACACATTGCTGTTTCAGGACAAAGCTGGTTCCTTTCTCTCCCCTGCGGTCTGAGGGCATCAAGCAGACTGCACTGCAGTCTGAGAGAGCCCAAGCAGTCCCTCTTGAAAGAGGTCAGCCAAATAAATAGGACGGACCAGAGCTGTAGCTCATCAAGGCATCAATTTCGTACGGACACCAGCAGACAGCCTAACACAGTCTCGTTTAGTGTTGTACCTCATTTTGATCACCATGCTACAAAAAAAGATATCACTACAACAATTCATTCACTGTCTGTTGCAGACAGGTTAAAATAACTGGAACTTTTTCATCTTGAGCAGAAATGCATATATTCATAATCCACTGAGCAATTTAAACCGCTGGACATTAAATTCAACTTCGAAACACAAATTAGAGAGTAAGTGGCACTTACACAAAGTGGTGTGGGAGTATTGAACAAGTTACCCAGTCACATGTACTGCAGGAAGTTGTATGAAACACCTTAGGTATACATGAACTCACATACTGCACTCCCAAAGTTTTTCAGCCCATTTTAAACTTCTGATATATAATGAAGTGTACAACAAGCTGAGCATAAAAACTCAAACCCTTTTATTTATATACTAATACTTAAAACAAGATTTCTGAAATCACAATATCATGATGCAAAACAGTTTACTTCCTAAGTGGCACCAATTTGACTCCCAGAGTTTGTTTCAGAATCTGTACTCAAAGGTAAATGTAAAACTTTCTGAGCCAAAATACAAAACTGTGGTCATTCATATTAAATGTAAAAGTCCCGTGGCAGTACATCCCTTGGCGTGTTCTGGCTGTTACAACAAGCTGCATATTTTGACTTTTCACCGTTTCCTTTTAGCCTGGAATTTGTAAATAGCTGGGGAATTTACAGTTTCATTCTTCACCTTTACTTTGTTGGTCTTGTCCTGAAAAAAAAACCAAATCACCTTATAATTTCCGAATGTTAGATCAAATCATAAAGAGCTCTGTTCTGTGCTGCCTTATTGCAAAAAATCAACTCCCTTTGTTCAACCTCCTCACAATACAAAACAATGTATCCTGAAACACATCCTGGTTTTTATGTCCTTAAAGAAGAGGTAAATGTCATGCCACCGAACAGAAAAGTTTAAACTTAAAACTGATTTTGTCCCAAAAGGGTATAGCATTTTTAAAAACTAAAGTGGACAGATTAAGGTTGTTTCAGTTATCAGTCAAATAACCATTCGAAGAAAAATACAAAAATTGCATGTAAGTGGAATTGTTTTGAAAATTTGAGTAGGGCACCTCATTTGCTTACATAATCATGGACAGGATCACAACGTTTAATGGGGATGTAATCTGGCATTTTAAGTATGACTTTTTTGAGCCAAGACACAAAGTGTGAACATATTTAGAGTATTGCTAAAGTAATTTTAATGTTAATTTTTCAAAATAATATCAGAAAACTTGCAAATGTTTGGAAATGTTTAGAAGCTAAGCGAACATAAAATTTCACCAAGCCATCTGGCTGTGAAGTCTGTACTCAACACCCACCACTCTCTGAGTAAAGAAGTGTGAAATAGTCCCCTACATTGTACCCATCTATAACACTAAGATTTTATATACTTGTTTTAAATCTCCTTTTTTAAAAAAAAAATTGAAGAAATTCAGCTTCTTTAACGTCTATATAATGCAATCCCAAGCAACCAGGAACTTTGAACTGTAAGGCAATAATATATTTCATGTAGTTTGGTAAATCAAACTGAACACAATATTCTAAACGCACTAAGACACATCGAAGTGCAACACATGTTTGTTTCAGTGTTTCATGTAATGACAGTAAAAAAAAGTTTTCAGTCACACAACACTACAATATTCTATTGGTATTTTAACATTTACTGGTCATATTTTAAAAACAGCTTGTTGCTGGCATATCTGCTTGATGCTGAAAGATAAACATTGGACTGATTCACTGGACCTTACTCTAGATGAAGCTAGCCAGCCATCATCTTAGCTTCTTTAAAGAAACAACTGGATGAGATTGTCAGATCAATTATCACCTAACTTCCAAAGGAGGTAGAGGGATCAAATAGCCTCTTCTCATTTGTACCCGTTTTTGTGTTCTTGATTAAGAAGAGAACCACTGTCACTCTTCCACCAGCAATGGCATGACCTAGCGCTGCTGAAACAGTGTGGTGCTGTGCTCTGTGTACACTAGACAGTACATACCATCAGGTCTTTGCGAGTCTGAATCTTCTGTGCTATCACAAACATCTTCTTCTCTCTGACAATGCGCTCCGACAGCAGTTTGTACTGGTGTCTTCTCTGCCTGGCCAGTTTCTGCAGAAAAGAAATACAAAGGCAAATGTCCATCAGTAGGCAAAGCACTTTTATCATCTTGTACTGAAATACACCAAAAATACCTTAAAATATTTTGTGATCAATTGAATCTGATTTATTAAGCCCCAAAAAATAAACCAAAAAAAGGAAAAATACTTTTTTATAGCAGTTACACCCTCATTACATTGAATAAACATAAAATACTTAAGTACAGTCTGACCTTCAAATCGGCAGCCCGCGTGGCCCCCTTGATTATGTTTTTCTGTAGCATGTCCGTGGTTGGCCTGTTGTACACTCGATCCACGAGCTCTGGTGCCGTGTTCAGATGGCTGGCCAAGTCAAACTCTTCGACTGAAAAACACAAGTGCCATCATTCGACAAAACCTCTTTCGTGAGCCTTGGGCGTCTTTCAATCAAGAAAGATACTTGCTGAACATACCTTCTTTTTTTGAGTCTACAAAGAAGGTGTGATTGTTTTGCATTTTGCCTTCAGCATCCAGTAGGTGGAGCTCTGATTTCAGTCTTTCAATTTTCTGGAAATCAAAAATGAAAGAGTGAGGATTGAAATGGTCCTTAACTGCAATTATTTATGATACAAACCAGCATGCTGATGTTAAATGTTTTAAACACGGCATTAATGGCCAACTTAAATCCCAAGTCACTCTGCTCTTTTTGCTTCGGAAAATGGGTCAGTTGGTTATTTCTTGTAGATCCTTTGGTAACATGAAGGATTAATTGTAGGAGGAATATAAATAATTGGAATATTCCTATTAGTTTATTAGTAGAGCATGTATATGCCAGACCAGTAAATTCCAGAGCAGGATCTTTAAAAGGGACCAATGGCACTATTTAACATGAACACCAGTGCTGCCTCATGTTTACCATGTTTCAAATCACAAACTAAAAAAAATCCCTAGCAACATTTGTCCTCCAAAGACCCCAGAGTGATTCTGACATACCAAGCTGTGTGCATACCGTTAAGCACTGTTCCATGTTCAATACAACTGCAAGTACAACTGCAGAGGCACTGACAGAGGCCCAGGCCTTTAAACCTTCAGTCAGCTGGTTCCTGCACTCCCAAGCAAGCGACACAGTACCTTGGCTTCTGCCACCCTCTTCATCTCCACATATTTCATGTCCTGGGTTCTCATCACCTTCTTCTGTTCCTCCGTCAATTCCTCCTCGGGATGCCTCAGAACTTGAACTCCATCCTGAGGACAAACCAGTCACCACCAAATAAAGACAGGTTAACCAAAAGCTACACAAACAACACATGAGTTCAAAGAGACAGCAGAGCCACAGGGCTGCTGGAGAGTGTGAATGATGCTGCAGGGTGGCCTGCAGTTGAGGAGGTAAGTGGGGACAGAAGTGAAGAGAATCTGAGCTTTCATGTTCCAGTGACTATCCTGACTGCTCACTGTCTTCTGCATAATAAAGGTAGTCTTCCAATTCAAATGAGGTTTTTTGAAAGGAAAAATACAACCCACTCCCAAGTTTGAGATGATGATCATGTTGTTCAGTGTTAAGAAATATGCCTGTTCATGTTTGCCTCCAATTTATTACACCTTTGCCACAGAAAATAAAGAAGTAATTTGTCTCACAATTAGGCCGACTCCTGGGATTTATTAACAACAATGTGTGATGTTCAATGAAAAGCAGCTCACCTTGATTAGCAATTAACTATGTTTTCCACTGGATAATAATCTTACAAAAGCATATTTAAAGGGGCACTATGTGCTGAAAAATAAACACACTGATGAGAACAGTGAACACACCCTGGTGCTGTAACTGCCCGACTCCGTTTTAAAAGCAGGTGATCATGCTGACCTGTAGTTGCGTACTCGTCATCTTGAAGTAGAACTCATCAGGGTTCTTATTGAGAGCCTTCTTCTGCAGTGCATTAAGCGTGTTCTGCTTTTTGTGGTAGTCACTTAAAAGCAAAGAAAATACATCGGACTAGTACCACAGACAACCGATTATGAGTCAAATTTCACATTTCCAGAGCAGACCCACCCCTTCAACTTCATACTCCAAAAGGACACTGGAATGAAACAAGTATACAGAAGGGTTTCAACATTCATGAAGATTAAGTCCACAGAACCATCGTAAATAGCCAAATTCGCATATAATCAAGTCAAAAAGATAGTACCAACACTGCTGCCCCTCTTTCTGGAGTTACCAAGGACTAATAAAAAAATGACAATAATATAGAGGATTAATGAAAATCATCGGCTTACTCGGCTCGTAGCTTGTAATCTTTCTTCTTTTCCAAGAATCCCAAGTGCTTTCTGAAACTAGGCTGGTAGGAAAACACAAAATGTATAAATTAACTTAAATCGAGCTTAAAATACGTATTAAATAGGTAGTATAATTTAACACAAGTGCAAAATCCGTTTTGAAAATACGTCTAATCTTTAAGACAACACAGTATTTGTTGACTAAACGACGTATTCCACATTTAGGTCACTAAACAAAACGTTTAATTACAAGCAAAAATAAGTGAATAAGTAAAAATACCTTAATACAAACACAGTGTATGCTACTCCCACACTAGATCTGGAATATTTTATTAACTGACAGTTAACCACACTGTCGAAAATTTAAGTGCAGTGATAATGAGAAGCTATTTGACTACAATGTTAAAGCCTGAGATAGTGGTACATTAACTATCATTAAAGAGGTGATGTTCTTTAAGTGGTTTTAATAGAGGAAACTCGTGTCAAAGTCGTGAGAGGCTACATTACATCTTGCTACGTTTCAAGATTAAACGACGGGGCATAAATGTTATCTAATTATACATGTCCCCCGGCTCTTAGACATACAGTAGAGCTTTTTAATGTAACCAATTTCAGAAACAGCACTTCTTAATGTTTCTTATTATTCATTACTGAGAAAAAACAAACAATTCCATGAGGGTTGCATTTAAGAAGCAACTTAGCTACTTAATTTCTTCTGTTTTACACTTTCGTCTTTTAAAAATAAAAAAAGCGTTCTCACCTGAGATCTCTCTTTGTGATTCCGCTGGTTGGATTTCAAAGCTTTTCTAAAAGACGACATATTGAATATTGTACAAAAACACACCGTCAAACGTGCACTACCGTTTCAACCCGGCCTTTCTATGATGCTATGTTAACACGTGGGACTCCAGTGCGTAAAAAGCTATTACGAGTTTCCAGACACAATATTCGATACACATCATTTGAAAAAAAAAAACAGATACAAAACAAAACGGTTTTACTATATCAACTTTATTGTATATAACAAGACTTTTGTACATCTTTGTATCTGTTACATATTTTGAAAACGGTTACAATTAGAGCGAATATGCCAATTGTGAATAATACGATAGCACACTATCTGTTTTTAGGTAAAGTAATACCTTCTCGTGGACGTTGTGCGATTCATAAAGCTAGACAAGGAAGCCACGTACTGTACAGATAATTAACAAAAGTAAAAAAGAAAACATAATCATCTTCACAGACGAGACGAGCCCTTCAGCCCATGTAGTCCGTTTAGTTGTTAGTATTTAATTGACATTTCATTCAGCCTTTTCGTGAAAAACGTTTGCCTCCTGTTCTGTGTTATAAATACACTTCCCTTGAGTTTCCACTTGTGTCTTGTGTTCTTGATGTTGTTTCACCATTCTTTCTGTAGATGTCCCCTGGGCTGCTTTTGTCATGACCTTTATGGATTCTGAAAACTTTTATCAGGTCCCCTCTTATTCTTCTCTACTCCAGACCAATTCCGTTCCAGAGTACAATATCCTTTCTATAAGTGTCTGACCAAAATTGCACACCATATACTAAATGAGCTATTACTGGTACATATATTTTTCACATAACATCCCCAGATTTGCGTCGTGTGTTGTAGAATATTTAATTATATATCATAACATTTTGTTTGTCTTTTTAATTGCTTCCCTATACTGTCAAGAAGATATAAATGATGTGACAACAGAAACAGCTCTGTCTTTTTTCATAAGTAGCCTCTTCTATCTTGACATTTCCTGTTTTGTACTTCTAGTTTGTTTTTGCTACCTGCAAAACCCTACAATTGTTTACATCAAATGTCATCTTCCAGAGTTTGCCCAGTCTTTGAATTTTATTTTAAACTCTTTGAATTTTAATTGCTTCTTCTGAAGTTTACTAATTCCAAATCATTTGTGTAAATTAAGAACAGTGGTCCAGGTACAGATCCCTGTGATACTCCAGTAATTAGATCACTCCAGTCTGGGTATTTACCCCTTATCTGTAACTGCTGCTTTCTTTTGAATAATAAATTCTTAATCCAAACATTCAAGTTTCCCTGAACACTGTCCACCTGCAAAGTGAGAATTATTTTTATGACAAACTTTATGAAAAGCCATCTGAAAATCTGAAATAAACTATATCATTTGCCATTTGTGTATTCATTACTGCTGTTGTTTGTTCAAACTACTGTAACACTTTGGTTAAGCAAGACCTCCCTTTTCTAAATCCATGTTAATTATTTCTTAGGTTATTATTTCCATATAATTAATCTTGTAGACTAGTACTTTTCATTTTTTCTATAGCCTTACATGTAATAGAAGTCAGACGTAGTGGTCTACAATTACTGGGTTCACTTTTCTCACCCTTTTTGTCCTGTCTTGAGTCATTGTTTGAAGAGTTGCATCAAAGACTACCGCATAGCACCTCTTGTTTCCTTTACTAAAATCAGGCCCGGGGGATTTATTAAACTTCTAGTGCTTCTAGGACGTGAAGCACTTCTTCTTGTAGGCTGATACTGTTTCATACAGAATTTTGTCCTTCTGCTGCCTGAGACATTCTGCTGACCTCTTACTTAATGAACACCTGAGGTAAACTCATCTAGCGCATCAGCCTTTTCACTGTCATTGTCTAAAGTTTCATATTGATGTCCCAAATAAATTATTCTTCATCCTTGACAGTTTTGCTTTTGTAGTAATGTAAGAACTTTTTTTTTATTTCTTTTCACCTCCATTACAATATTTTTACTATCCATCTTTGCAATTCGCCATGTTTTCTCTTTTTTTATAAAGTCTGGTCTTTTCTCTGATATTTTTCATAATTGAACATAGTTGTACTGCTTGGGATAGTACTATTTTATCTTTTTATTTGTTCATGTCATGTCATTTACCATACGGTGTCGCGGGAAGCCGCAGCCTACTCGGCAACTGTAAAAGAATTAAAAGCCTTTTTCACACCTGAATAATTCTCCACAGCCAAAACGATCTGGTAGGAAAGTTCCATCAGTGAACACTAGGTGGGGCTGTCGTCTTAGTTCCCTCGACTGCTTTGCTGAACGTAATTATACAGTTCTTACAGAATTTTTAAATTTAATTAGTTTAAATTTATCCAAGTCATCTTACATTGATACACGTTTTTACAGCTAGTTATTTTGTTGAATCTGGGTGAAATACTTTACTGAAAGAAACAGCAGAGTCCCACACAAGATTTAAACCCACTGCTTTGTAATTAGAGAGTCCGGAGACCTAATCACTACTCTAACAAACACAAGAAAAAGGTTACAGAAGTAGACGCCATCCAGGCATTTCTTGAAATAACTCAGGTTAGCATTCCTCACACCTTTTGTGTAAAACAATGCTGTCCAGTCTCAGTGATAAAAGAACTTCCCTGTAGTTTCCTCTCATGTTGTCTGGTTCATATTTCATTGTTGATGCTGAAGTATTGCCAGTGTCATTAATGTTTTCGTATGCTTGAGGTCTCCTCGTAGTCTTCTCTGTTCAAGAATAAAGAGTCAGTTCTTTTAACCTGCCATTGTCATTCTTTGACCTCCAGAATGTACCTCGTCACACTTTGCTGGACTGATTTCAGTTTGACAATATATTTTTGTGATGTGGTGACTTGTCTTTCCTGCTTTTTGTTCTATTAAACAAATTCTTTTCTAAACATAAGTAAAGGATTTTGCTATTTTTTTTACATTTGGTTATACAAAATATGAAATTTGTTTAAAATACTTACCTATAAAGCATGGAACCTGGTTAGATGTTTTACAACTTTGCAGCTAATTAAATGATCGGACAAACCATCCTCATGGTGTGTAC